AAAAAAAAAAAAACGAACTGACTCATGTGTAAACCGAAAATCGGATATCAATATATCATCGTTTCGGTATCTGTTCCGAGCCCATTAAGATTCGGTTTTACCGACCAAACCAATCTATATATATATATAAAAAGAATTATCATTTTTTAAAAATAGTAAGTCAAATCTTTGTCAAAATCTTATCTCATTAATTATATACTATTTATAGTAATTTTTATTTTTTATTTTTAAATAAAATCATAGAGTATCTAATGCTGCCCTTGAATGGTGGAAGTTGTTATCTTTTTATGGCACACAAAATTCGGCCAATATATTTTTTGCATAACAGTTTGATGGAGAGATAAATGCATAAATCAAAACACATTTAAAAAGATTATCGATTAATTTGTATCTTATTCTGGCGGATAGGTACACATATAAAATAAAATAAAATTTGATGTATGAAAAGATGGTTTTATAAATATAATATTTGTATGTAAATTAAAAATTTATGAATTTCTTAACTATTACATTCACCTCATAAATTAATCCAAAACTAAACGTGAGATTTATTTTTAACAATAATACATATATTTATTTTTAACTATATACACGTAAAATTTACGTGAGATTTATTTTAAAATCCTATTATTTTCAATGAAATTTACGTGAGATTTATCTCAAAATCCTATTATTTTTGTATAGAAGTGGAATTTAATATATGTATATAATAAGAATAAATTTTTAAACATGTTGTCTGAGTAAATATTTTACGTGTATATATATATATAAATATATGTTAACTTTAATTGTTTTTAAATATATTTTCTTATAAAATAGTTTAGAAAAATTTAGGTAATTTCACATTTTTCTTATAATATTTTAGGTACTTTTATGTACGTTATATAACAGTCTATGAATCTCAATGTATTTTTGGTTGTAATATTATTAACACATATAATATTTTAGATACTTTTAAAAATATTTGGACAAATTTTTTACACATTCTCTAGATTAAAACATATTTTCCTTACAAAATAGTTTAGAATAATGTTAGGTGACTTCAAACATAATTCAAAAATACTCTAGATTAAAATATATTTTCCTTACAAAATGGTTTAGAATAATGTTAGGTGACTTCGCACATATTTCAAAAATAAAATAGAATATTTCAGATACTTATTCATATGTGATATAAGATTTTATATCATATAAAAAGAAAATAAGATTTATAATTCGCGATAAAAAACATTAAATACATATTTAATCTTAGATATAAAATCTCATTTTATTTGTTATATAATACTTCGGTTTGCATTAATCTTATTTCTAAATTTGATAAATCAAGACTACAAGGACTTACAAAAAACTAATTTTTAACTCTAGAAATAAGTTAGGTCATAATTCTCAATATCAACTCAATATTTATTTTGTATATACTATCATCTCAATATTTATTTATATATATTTTATATATTTAATGTAAATCTTTTCATTTTCAGTTAATAAAGTGCAATAATATCTTTATTTAGGCTCATAATATATTATATGTTTTTAAACATATTATTTATAAATTTTTGTACACGTTCTATCTATATATACATTTACATATAAACGTATGCATGTACATATGTAAATTTAAATATTGTTAGACATGTTTTCATGAAAAATTAATGTAGAAGATTTTAGGTGATTTCACTTCTTTGTAAATAGTTTAAACATATTTTCTTTACAAAATAGTTTAGAAAAATTTTAAGTAACTTAAATCTTGCAATAATGATATATAAATTTTAGATACTTTTTCATACGTTATATAATATTTTAGGCATTTTTAATATTTTAAACATACATTTTCGAAAGTTCTTTTATAAAATATAATTTTATGTATACGACAAATTATATCATATATTAACTCCACATCTTCAATTTATAATTATTAGTTAATATTATTTACCTTTCTCTTTAATTTATAATTATTATTTAATATTATCTACCCGTGCATCGCACGGGATACACACTAGTAAGGATATAAAAAGGAAAAAAAAAATTACTTGTCAGATTTAGGCTTTTGAATAGGCATATGTATTTCGGAAAAAAAAAAAGAATAGGCATATGTATTAGTTAAATATAATAATAAATTAAGTTAATAGATAACTTAAAGTTATGATTTAATTTAATTGGTCTTAAATCTTAATTATTATTATTATTATTATTATTATTATTATTATTATTATTATTATTATTATTATTATTATTATTATTATTATTATTATTAAAAGTTGTTGATTAGTTTAGGTCATTAGGATTTAGCCGCCGTCGTTTTCTTTCTGCTTGCACTAGCACTACGGCGGATTTTTTGCAGTTTTCAGGTTTTTGCTTGCCTCGACCCGTCGACTGTTCACCTCTCCTTCACTTCAGGCCTCCTTCTTCGCTTTAGAATTCAGATCGCCTCCTTCACAATTCACCTTAATCGACTCACCTTAGCCGAAGCCGTGCTAGAAGGTACTGTAAATAATTTTTCTATTTTGTGTTGTGAGTTTCATTAGCATTTTTTATTTTTATTCTGATAGTAAGTTTGTTTATCTAATTTAAATCTGAGGGGAAGAACAAATTCGTAAGCCTCCAACCTTATAATTCTCATTTGTTAAAAGCAATACGAAGATCGGACCTTCTCCCTGATGCACCATACAACAGGTAATTCATAAACCGTATCACCTCTCTATAGAAGTGTGAGGTTTCGGCTAAAATTGGATCAAAAAATTGAAGTGTTAAAAATCGGCTAGAATTTATAAATTAAAAACGTTATTGTCGCTATTATAACTTTTTGAATTTAATGATCGTGTTTAATCCCCACAAATGAATACATTCAACAATCTTCTCGATAACAGGGTGTTTAAACATTTATAATAAATTATTATATTTATCGACTTTAATACCACCCTGTTCTTGATTCATGTAGGTATTCGAATAATGGATAAAGAAAATGCAAAACTTACGAGACACATTAGAATGGCGAAAATGAAAGAAAAACGTGGACTATCTCCTGCAGATATTGAAACTATTGCTTCGGGTGAGTATATTTTATGGGACTTACTTTTAAAATTTGTATTATTGTATATAATATATGCAACTTACATAATTTCTTATATATTTGATGTTAGACACTCCATCCATATCAGACACTCCATCTAGTCAAGCCATAAAGTTCAGAAAGTCCTTTATAGATGCAAGGCGACAAAATGGAACAGGTCTATCCAAATTTGTATTGTTTTTTTTTCTTCATTTGGCTAATTCAACCTTACATGTGCAAAGACAAAATATTATATACGTTATCATATTTTTGTTTATTCATCTTGCTTAAATAGTCTATTTTTTATTTGTTTTTCATTGTCTGCAGGTGAAACAAAATTTCATCAAAGTCAGCTCCCATTTTCAGATATTACTAATCATATCCAACGTAAGTTTTGTTAATTTTATATCTTCATGGTGATTTTTTTTTATTTAATTCTTTTATTAATTTATTAATTATATTTAAGTGATACATGTATGTTTTTGAATTCATAGTTGACAAACACACGGAGCAAAACACCTGCCCAACAGCAATTCAAACCATAGGAACTTCCGGTATAGTTCATTATTTAAAAATAGTATAGTATTTACTCACCATGGTAATCATGTTTTGGACTTTGGAGTTTATATAACCTTTTATTTCTATTTTTTTAAAAGGTAATGAAAGCACTTTAACTGAAGAGGCATCAACAAAGCGGGTCAAAAAGGATATAAATGTTTTGTCTTCAGTTGCTCGAATGCTTTATGTTGATCATCG